GAAGTCACCTCAGCCGCTCCTTATACAACTTCCCCTCAAGGCCCTTCATCATCTCTGTTGCCCTCCTTTGGACACTCTCTAATAGCTTAATGTCTTTCTTATATTGCAGTGCCCAAAACTGCCACCCCAGTGCAGAGCAGAGCGGGACAATCCCCTCCCTCGACTGGCTAGCGATGCTTTGCCTGATGCCCCCAAGGGCACAGCTGGCCCTCCTGCTGACTTGTATCAACTTGCCATCGACCAGAATCCGTGGCTGTCCTCTTTCCATGGCACTGCTTTCCAGCATCTCATTCCCCAGTCTGTACATACATCCAGGGTGGTCCCATCCCAGGTGCAGAATCCAGCACTTTCCCTTGTTGAATTCCATCTGGTTGGCAATTGCCCAGACCTCTAATTTTTTGAGGTCTTGCTGCAGGGCCTCCCTGACTTTGAGAGAGTCAGCAGCTCCTCCCAGTTTTGTGTCATCTGTAAACCTACTTAGTATTCTTTCCCTTGTGTCTGTGTTTGCATCCAGAGAGTAGTGGTCAATGGTTTAATGGATGGAGATCAGTGACAAATGCAGTCCCTTCGGGGCCCATGTTGGGACCAGTGCTATTAAATATCTTCATCAATGACACAGACAGTGGGATCAAGTGCACCCTCAGCAAATTTGCAGATGGCACCAAGCTGCGACTTGACACCAAGTCGACTCTCCTGAGAGATGGCATGCCACCTAGAGAGACCTGGACAAGCTCGGAAAGCAGGCCCATGGGAATCTCTTGAGATTTGTCACAGCCAAGTGCTGCACCTGGGTTGGGGCAATCCCAAACATAAATACAGACTGGAGAAGAATTTACTGCAAGGAGCCTTGAAGAGAAGGATTTGAGGGTGAATGAAAAGCCAGACTTGACCTGACAATGTGCATTTGCAGCCCAGAAAGCCAATCGTGTCCTGAGCTGCATCAAAAGAGAAATGGCCAGCAGGTAGAGTGATTCTGCCCCTCTAATCCACTCAGATGAGACCCAACTGGACTGCTGTGTCCAGCTGTGGGGTCCTCAGCACAGGAAAGACTTGTGCCTGTTGGAGTTGGTCCAGAGCAGTGCCACCAAGATGATTAGAGGGATGGAGCATCTCTCCTATGAAGACAGACTGGGAGAGCTGGGGTTGTTCAGCCTAAGGAAGAGAAGGCTTCAGGAAACCATCACAGCTGCCCATCAGTACTTAAAAGGAGCCTACAAGAAAGATGGGGACAAATCTTTTACCATGACTTGTGATAGGACAAGGGGTAATGGTTTTAAACTGAAAGAGGGTCAATTTAGATCAGATATAGGAATTTTTTTATGAAAGGGGTGGTAAAACACTGGCACAGGTTGCTCAGAGAGGTTGTGGGTGCCCCATCTGCGGAAACATTCAAGGTCAGGTTGGATATGGCTCTGAGCAACCTGATCTAGTTAGAATGTTCCTGATCATCGCAGGGAGCTTAGACTAGATGATCTCTGGAGGTCCACTCCAACACGAAGTATTCTATGATTCTATTATTTATTTATCTACCTGTATATACGTGCAGACAGTGCACTGGTAAAATCAAGGGTGTATTAAATCAGGGTATATTCAGGTAATGTGTTTTCTTGATAAAATTTTATAGTAAATCAAAGGGCCTAGATGCATTGAGATCATATCCATGGATGCCAGAATGCATAAAGAAGATTGGGGGTGGCTGGATTATATCACTAAATCCTACTTAACACTTCAAAAAGATAGGAGAGCATCAACACTCTTAATAAGGAAAACACTGGGCAGTGAGGGATGATTTCTTCTCTTGGCTTACTGAGTTGCTATCTCTGATGAATTTAGGCTATGCCATTTACTTTATTGTGTTTATCACTCCCTTGATTTCCCATCTGTTTGTGTTTCTTTTTTAACACTTATTTCAGTCATTGTTTGTGTTATGCTGCAGACTGAACTTCAGAACAGAAAAATTATTTGTAAGGAATGGGCAGTATTATATTTCTAAAAGAGTGTATTCAATAATTCCCAATATCTACCAGTACACAGTTGTTCACATTCACATGCTGTCTTAGAAGGTAGCTGTCATGAATTAGCTACCACTAAGTAGAGGTTCACTTTGCCATTATAAAAAACCGTAGGTTACCTTTTATTATGGGAGACTAAATTCAAGTCTATATGGGTGAAACCTATCTCAGTTGCCTAATCTACCTTTTGGACTCCTGTAATGGAAATACAAGACACACAGAGAGCTTTACTGTCTCCATTACCAGAAGTCAAATAATGACCATTTAGTGGGATTCTATCATATTACAGGAAAACACCCCATGGTAACTTGAACTGCTACAGTCATTAAAACAAAATTCCTTGAAATATTAGTCCATTTTTATTGTTTATGTGTTGACTTAACTCAGATTAGGAGGTCAGACTGTCCAGATTGCTTTTCACTTCTGTCTTAGTGAAAGATGAATAGTTTAATTTTCTCAGTAATATTTTCAGTTGCATAACCCGGTGGAATAGCAGCAGGCTATCCAACCTCTCCTCAGCACTACCTCAATGCCATATTAATTTCCTGGTCATTTCCTGGTGACCACTTACTATGTCACTTAACTTTCGTCTTTTCAGCTTCTCAGGCACAGTTCTTTCTAAATGCTGGATGTTCATAACTTCTTGGCTAAATGGAGTGTGATAGTGGATCTTTCCCATCCCCCAATTACAGCAGTGATACCAGGAATGCCAGGATGTGTTCAGGGACTGTCATTTCAGCTGTAAATACCTTGAGCAGGTCAGACAGTTCAAAGTCCATTGGGATGAAGAAAAAGAGCTTGGATTGCTAATGTGTTGTAGTGAAAAATCTTTTTTTTTTTTTTTTTTTTAATCTGTCTGAGGCACTTCTCTAGTGCTTCTTTTAGCTACGTACAATATATATGTCACAAACAAACTGCATGTATTAATATCACAAAAGCACGGCTTATAGTTATAGCCATAAAGCACGGGCATGGTTGCAGAGACTTAATTCCTGACATAAATAACGTGCACTAGAGTTTTACTAAAGACATGTTAATTTCTTAGCAATAACAATCCTCTTGAAGTTATGACCACTGCAGAAAATATAAGACAAAACGCCTGCCATATGTCTTGTCATTGCCCAGAATATAACAAAGCCTCTTCATTTTCCCCTTTTAATCTTTTGTATGCTGGTGTTTTCTTCAGAGCTTGCTAGGCCCTTTGGTCAAACACCAGTTTTACTGGCACATACTACTACTACTGCTGATGGGGCTACCCACAGAGACCACACAGAATGTTTGGGGTTAACAAGGCTTTTTATGTGTGTAAAAATGCATTGCATATTTCAAGATAGCTCTTCTTCTGCATGCTTCTTAGATGGGAAAGGATGAGTTAAAAAGAACCGCTGAAAAGTGAAAGAATTGAATACAAAACCATCTTTTCTCATCTAGAAAAATGTTTGCAAGAAAGAAGAGGCTTATTTCCAGGCTGAAATGATGTTCACACCGTGTTTGCTTGGAAACGTCTTGCTCTTTCAATGGCATGCTTTGGTTGGTAAACAACCATTAAAATTCTGAGCAGATCTGCATAGCTTGCAGGAAAACCTCTCAAAACAGCTGCAGCCTCCTTTCAACAGATGGGAATTAATAATATCCTTTGTTCTCCAGGTTCTTCCATTTTTACCCACAAAATGGGTGAAAGCTGCTTTTTCTAGACCACTGGTGCCCACGGGAGCATGACCCCTCCTGTAGTATGAGCTGTGGGTTGAGGATGAGCAGAGAAGGGTGTACGTGGCACTAGCCTCTGATTTTCCCCTCCCCCTCGCTGGCCGCTGCAGAGAACAGCGTGGAGTCCAGCAGACACAGTGAGATGTGGAGCTGCTCTCATCCCTTACCTCCCTCTCATCTCTCCTTTAGGTGTATTGAGGATGCTTTTTGTGTCTGCTATGTCCCCAGAAAATGTGCATTTGGGACTGAGGGTCATGGTAGGCTTGAGGACTTCCAACAAAGGATGATGGTGCACCAGCATGGATGATAGGTTCATCCCGGCTGGCTAAGAGAGGTTGACAAGTGGTGTGAGGCATTCCTGAGCCCTTGGCATGGAATCAACCCCGGTCTCTGTAGGTGCCTGTATTGAGGGGTGAGGGCCTGCACCAGCAGGTGACTCTTGCTGAGCCCCTCTTTATTGACCCAGAATGTATTGACTGCCCCAGCTACAACTTTCTGCTAAAATGTCTGGCCAGGTCCTTTACCCTATGCTTGATAATTTTGCACTGGAACTTTTGTCTCTCACAATGGAAGAATTTCCAAGTATGTCTCTTGCTTCCCCAAAGACCCAGAGGCTGAGCTGGGTCAACGTCTCTGTCAGCTGGAGTCACCCCCATCCCTACTGCCTCCATCCTGCCAAGCATTCCTGTGCCCTGGGCTTTTGTCCTTACACTCCCCATGAACCGGGACTCGACTGTCGTAGAATCCACCAGTCCCTCTGTGATGCCCTAAGACAGCACTGCCCCCTGAGACCACACTGCATGGAAGAGGGAAGCATGTGACATGCAGGGACAAAATGTTCTTGGCTCTCTGAAGAGATGAGAACCTGCCAAAAATCCCATGGAGATCACAGAGTGCTGCAAAATCTTGCCGTTCAGTGGCTCTTTCCCACCCCCCCTGTACGGGAGGATAAACAAGCACGGCTCGGCCCAGGCTGGGGGCGAGGTGAGCCCACGAGGGTCTCCCGCCGGCGGGGCGGGGGCAGAGCGAGGCGGGGGAGGAGTGTCCCTCACCGGCAGGCCCCGCAGTCCCCGCAGCCCCGCAGTAGCAGCCCCGCGGCTCCCGAGGCCCCCGCAGCTCCGCAGCCCCAGAGGATCCGCAGTGCCCACCACGCCCGCAGTCCCGCCATCCCCCCGCCCTGCTGCCTGAGGCCCCACGGTGCTTCCCCCGCTCCCCATCAGAGGGCGCTCCGCCGCCGCGTTTGTGCGGGGCGGCGGCTCCAGAGCGTTCCAGGATGCCGTCGATCCCTGCTCCTGCTTCGTAAGAACACCCTGGCCGCAATAGCAGTGCCACCCGCGGCCTGTGCTGCTTCGCTCAGCAGGGTCAGTTCTCTGTTAGGACTTGTTAGGTGCGTGAATTGTTGTTAATTTGCCTCTGCTTCTAGGTTTAATTTCTGTTTAGGAACCTGAAAGTAGTGCTTCGATATTGTGATTATCCCTTCCCTCTGTTTTAAAATACAGAACGAATAAATCTTTCTTGCTGACTAGTAGAATCTGCAGAACACATCCGTGAACGACAAGCTTTCCATAATGTAAGCTGCTGAGATCTGCTGAATGTCTTTCATATTGCCATTTGATTCAAGAGAGGGAACACATTTCTCAATCCCTTTTAATTTCAGTAATTTCCTTGCATTGTTTAGAATTGTTTAGGCTTTTTAATTTTTTATGTACATGTTGATGACGTGTCCCTCAAAATCTTTATATTCCAGCTATTGTCAGATGCTCAAATATACAAGGATGTGAGGTTCTAACTCACTCAAATGGCAGTACTGGAATTGTTGCAGACAAACAAGAAGAAACTTTCTGCATGGTAAAATCTCAAAGAGACTGAATTTCCTTTTCTCTTTACCTACCACTGCTCTGATATTGTGCTATTTCTTCATACAAAAAAACTGGTCATGGGATATGAGAATTACAGTGGCATGTATCTGCTCTTTTTTTCTTTCTTTCAGAGTGCGATGAAATCAGGAAGGATGCTTATGCTGCTTGATGATAAGTTGATTGAACTATCAACTTAAGGACAATAGGAAGTATTTTGATGCAGCAGTGCGATGCCTCTTAACGTCCAGCCATGTATGTGTTTTGTGGACTAGCTACGGAGGTATCCTGTATTATACTTAGTAAGGAGCGCCTGCACTTTCCATTACTGGTATATGATGTTCTGCAGTCAGCTAAGGAAATAGTCTACAATGTTAGACTTGCAGTGTTTTGGAAATGCAAACAGTTCTCAGGTAAAGCTGGTTTTCTTATCGTCTCATGGCCACCAAGGCTGTTGCCCAGGCAAGTCCCAGTTGTCCTCCAGATGCCAGTCTCCAAGGGATCGGCAGGGGGGCAGTAAGCAATTCAGGCTGATCACCATCAGCAACCATCTACTGCTGCTGCTCTTTTCTGATGACTCATATAATAGCCTTGTTTGGTTCCATTTTATAGAGAGAACAAACATTGCCTCAGTGGAAGGAAAAAGAGAACATAAGCAAACTGAAAATGTTTGTACTTTCTAAAGGAAGAAAAAGTCAAGATGTTGTCTTTCAAGGATGACTGTTCTTCGGGTACATTGGTTGGGATGCAATCAGGTACTGCATCTGAAGTGCACTCAAGATAAATTTAATATAAGTTCATATTAGGCCTCCACTTCTTTTCTAATTTGTAAACATTTACTTGGAGTTCAGACACATTGCTTAGATACCTGAGTCATAAGTTAGTAGAAATCAAAGAAATAAACTCCACATCCTTGCAAATTCCATCACAAGAAGCACTGTAAGTATGTATATGGTTTCCTTGTAGTTGGTTTGCTAAAGGGAGAAATATATATAGAAATGCAAAGAGAAGCTTATATTCTCCCAAGCAGAAAGAATATTAGTTTACTGGGATGCATATTCCTATTAACTTAACTGAGACTGGTTAAGTAAACATACTCATACAGTGCTTGCAGTACAGGGCACATGTATGATATATAGTTTGTCAGGGACTTAGAACTGTGAAAAGTGTTGCGAAACATCTGCTTTGCTTTACTGGAGAAGTCTGTTCACATTTCAGGGAAAAGTCCCAGAAGAAATGGTGGAAGAAGGATAAACGGGTTTTTTTTGAATTTTTTGTTCTGCCTTAAAATTAAAACGAATAGTAAAACATATTTGAAAGAATTCTGTCCTGAAATCGAAAGTCTAATGGCTCAGGATCAAGAATAATAAAATCAAACAAAAAAATCAAATAGCCCAAAACAGTGCATAGTTGCTGAGTAGTACGAGAATCCACACATATAGAGTAGTTAAGCAACTGATGATTTCAGAGAAAAGAGGACAGTTAAAGCAAAGTGGATTGCTTTGATTTGTCCTCAGGTGAGGACAAATAGAAAGGGTTGTTACAGTAAGCTGAGGAAATGGTAGTACTTAATATTTGGTAGAAAGTCTATCTGTTAATAAATTGGGATGGAATTTTAACAGAGATTTAGTATGGTTGAAACACTGAACTTGCTTTGCATTCATCTGAACAAAAATAATACACAAAATGTAAATGCATAAGAAAAAACCTAGGGGAAAAAAAAAGGAATGAGAACAAAATATTGAAAATCTACACACATATGGGTCACCTGGATGACACACATCCTGAGGTGTTAGATACTGTTTCCTGAATAATTTTCTGTCACTTACAACTATTAGAAAACAGTGGGCAATTGTGGAAGTGTGAAAGATGGAAAGAAAGGAAATATCACACTCCGTTTCTAAAACAGAAGGCAAAGAAATTTTAGCAATTCTATCTGGGTATATGGGTCCCAGCTCTCCCCAAAACGTAGAGCCTGTAGGAGCACCCCCCTTCCCTTCTTTATCCTCTGTCTGTCTCAGCTCAAGGAAGCACCTCAGCTCCTCAAGATCAAGTTTACCTTGAATTATCCGTAAGCTTAGGTGTAAGTGCTTATTTGGATCTGCACCCCTGAGAGAAAATAATTTCTGAATATTTCTGAATTCTCAGATTCTTGGCAATGGAAAATGAGCATGCAGATATACAGGAGATGCTAGAGAAAGAGATGAATGGGATATAAATACTATTTTGCTTGATATTAAACATCCGGGATTAGCACAGCAAAATGCAGATGATCTGAAAACAAATAGAGTGAAAATATATTGGTGCAGTGCATCACAGTTTCAGGAGTAAAGCCAAAAATCTGCAGGATTAAAAAAAAAACAACCCAAAATAACCCTGTTCCTCAGGCAGGATGATATTGATTTTGTCTTTTGTATGCTGAATAAACCAGGGAGATACAAAAGAAATAATGAGATTCATTTGCTATTTTTAATATGCGGCAATGAATTTTAATCCCTAAAGTACCCCAGCGGGTGAAGATGTGATTGTGGAATAAAGAGAGCCGTGGAAATTCAAAATGATGAACAGCTCAACAAAAACTTGCAATCTACTGGCATTATGAAGAATATCAGAATATTATTAATTGTGGTAATTTTTTTCCTGTTTCAAGAGAGCTATTCTCTTTTGGGAATGTAAATATACTCACTGCAGCTTTATTAAAGGGTTTTCATAAACTAAGTTTCATTAAAGAGAAGATCTGCAGCATTTCATCATGCCTCTAATGTCTGATTTGGACAGATCAGCTCCTTCATCTAAGCTTCTGATACTTGTGTAGCCCTGATTCAGGGAAGCATTTATATTCAGAAGCAGCCCTTAGTGTCAAACACAGACACAAGTGATTTTCTAAATGGGAAAGACCTCAAAGACATATTTAAATTCTTACTTGGCTCAGGGTTGCTTGCTGTCTTTTGTGATGCTATGAAACAGAAACAAAAGTGATGATTACTGAGGTATGAGCTGTGAACTGCAGCAGTTCCAGCTGGAGAAGCCCTCCTCTCTGAGCTTCTGACTGGCCTTGCATAGCCTGATCCTAAAGTATCTGTGACTCTGCTTTTACTAGGTTTGTTTCTTTTTCTTCCATGAGAACCTAAGAATGCATAAAAACCCCAAATCCAACCAAAACCAGACAAATAACCCACACCAAAAACAAGGGCATACATACAAATTTTGAGTTCAGCTATTGAGTAGAAAGGAGTATCTCCAGGTCTGTACTGGGACAAATTATGTCTAGTAGGAATAACCCCATTTCATGTGAGGAAGCTTTCATTCAGCAATGCTTTACTCCCATGGAATAACTCAGATGATGTCTGCAGAGCAAGATTTACCATCCTGGAAATCTGAAATTCCCTATTTTCACCACAGGCGAGGATGAGGCAGGGAGGGCCTCTCTGGTGGATCAGGCTGGAGTCTGCCAAGGAGCACCCCAAGGAAGGGGAGTTTGGCCTGCTTTAGAACATGGGGAAGTACAGGGAGAGCCAGGTATGGGGCATGAAGCTGCCCCTTGCTGAAGGCCTGCAGGGGAGGGATGCAGGGCCAAGGAGTGCAGTGAAGCAGGAGCACTTCTGCTTCTACCTCTCCATTTTCCCTTGTCTTGTCATCTCCTTTTCTCCTAGAAGTGTTTCTCCCTCAGCCCCCACAGAGTCACAGGAAACCTCACCCACTCTATTTATTTTTACCTGTTGGCATGTGGGCAGGTATACCTGCCCTGTGTGCCTTAGCTCAGCACTGCATCAAGGAGCAAGCACTTTTGTTCAGAGCTCTTTTTAAAGCTATTAAAATTAAAAAAAAAAAAAAAAAAGAAAGAAAGAAAAAAAAGAAGGAAAAAAAAGAAACATGCCCCCTAAGCCTGAATAGCAGCATTTCTATCATCTGTTGTCATGACACACAGCTGACGTGGGAACACGGCAATAAGGCTGACTGCTATACGGGTTTAATTTTGGTGCAGAAATTTGCTAGAAGAAGCTTTCAAAAATATCTCTGGGTGGGAGGAAAACAGGTGGGTGCTGGTTATGTGTATGAAGCAGGAGGAAATAGTTGTCAATCTTACCTAAGCATTACTCTGCATCCATCAGCCCTTTGGTACCCTTGCTACTCAATGGGGGAAATAAATGATGCTGTCTATTAGTGTTCCTCCCTTCTTTTACTTCTTGAGAAGGTGATGGTGAGCCACAGAATGCAGGGAAACTCAGCATGGGATGACTGAATAGAGCCATGGTCAAAACAATGCACCCTTCCTGTGTGGTTTCTGTAAAGATGTCTGTATGGGAAGGCAATCGTTCATTGGAGCCAAATGCCAGTGAAATGCACTCAGTAGAGACTTCTGTGCCAGTAGCATCTAAAATGACAGCTGACATAGGAGACAGGTGGTGAGTAGTGTATGGTCTGTAGGGACTCCTAGGCTAAATCTAATTTCTGTTGTTGTCCATGTAGGTGGGTGTGTGGATTCAGTTCAGCCTGTTGTTCAGGTGGTTCATTCAGTCCTGTGTGCCTATGCCACATACACACTTTTGTTTCAAAAGTGTCCTTTCTGTCCCTCTTAATGTACCTAGGTAAGTCAGAACTAGTTTCCTTTTTAGACACTCCTGAGCTATCACAGCTTCTGCTGGATATGAAAGGGTGCAGGTGTTCAGAAATATTCTCTAAAAATCACTCTGCTAACCCATTTGAAGCTCATTTTCCTTTACTGCAGTTACTTGCTATTAGTACATTTCTCATCTGTTAGTCATCTTGACTAATGATTTTACTCATCTATACTAGTTTACTTACCCACTTCAGTACTTTCCTAGATCACAGGAACATTTTGTGACTTAATTAAGTAATCAGTTAGAAGCTCAGAGGTCTTTGAATGAAAAGTGTTATGTTTTATAAGAGCAAAATACTACGATTACAAGACTGAAAACCATAATTTAGTGTAGGGACTTTTTTTCTCCATATTTTTTGTTTGGACATGCATTATGACTATGATAACTATGGTAACTAGATAACCATAGTGGTAAAACTGGAAATCTCAGCAGTGACAACTTTGAAAGAAGACATCCACACTGTTGCAAGTTAGTGGTGTGTACTGAGATGAAGGCAAAAGAAGAAAAGGAAGAGCTTGTTTGGAGAGGAGTGCACTGGAACAGAAGGACATGTAAGTCTGTGTGAGCAGAGTAATTCAGAGTGCCTCTTGTGGAGTAAAGCTTACATCTAATGTAGTCATAAAGCCAAGGGAACCTATAGTATTTTATTTTGCCCCGTTTTGATTGTGTTTCAACTCATTCTGAAAATCTGGCTTTTCCCATACCCATGCCTGTGTTTCCCCAATGTGTGAAATTCTCCCTTTAGAGGTCCCAAAGGAGAAGCCACTTGGTGAGTGGAAAATTTGATAGCAATGTATCCTTTACATCTTTACTTAGCGTTTTGGTCCTGTCTCTTTGTACTCCTTTGATTCTCCTGCTGCTTTCAGTTTCCAGTCTCTACACTGAATATCCCATAATGTGCTCAATAAAAATTGAATAGTTTCCACTTAGAATTCTAAAAATGGTTTGCCATTTCCAGAAAGTGACAGTATCAATATTATCGTCAGTCTCTTATGCAAATTGCCACCCTGTTGCTACTTACCAAAGCATCTCATATTTCTCTGAAATCAAGCTCCACATTCTTCCACTCAGATGCTCTGGAAGTCCTGACCCTACTGGAGGTGTCCAAACCATTGGCATTCACCTTGCTGCTG